CATACACACCGAGACACACATACAGGCACACAGAGATATACATACAGAGAAATAAATACATATGCACACAGTCACAATTACATACCTATTTTACATACAGGTCCTTGAGGTGCATGCTGACAGGTGACCAGCTCTGTGGAGTCCTGACTTGCAGCCAAGCCTCATCACAGGGCGCCATCCGTGCTGTGTGGTACACAGGGAGCAGGGATATGATGTCATTCATAACCTCGCCCCCTCCACAAAGCTTGCGGCAGGCACCAGTGAAGGAGGCTGCTCAGGCAGCAGGAAGCTTGGCGGGCAGTAAGAGGCTGAGCCTGTGCTGAGGGGAGGTGCTTGCGCTTGGGTTCACAAAGTAACCGGCTGGAGGGGAGCGCTCCCCTCCAGCCGGACAGCCTGACATTACATGCGGTTCCCTAATGGAGTGTGGAGCCGCACGCTTCCGTGGGGTGCCGGGGGCGCAGGCCGAGCAGGGGGGGCGCAAAAATCACCTGTCACACTGACACTTGATTTTTGCGCCCCCCCTCGGCCTGCGCCCCTGATGGGCGCCGGTTTCACCAACCTCATGGTACGCCCCTGAATGTCCCCTGTTCTTCCACCCTCTGAAAGATGGGATACAAGGTAATTTAATCACCATGATCGGAGTCCCCAGGTCCTTAATTACTCAGTTGTGTGTTTGTACCTAAAGCAGATGGCAAGTTAGATTGACCAGCAGTTGATCAGTAGAATCTTACCCAGTATGGATTCTCAGCCAGATAAAAAAAAGCAAAATTTCCCCCCAAAAAGGTCTATATAAATATGCAATAGACATTTAAAAACAAGAAGTGAAATTAGATAACTTAACAGAAAAAAGAAAACTCCCAACAGCAACAAAATTAAACCCACCTGCCTAATATCATGTAGGTGCCACTTGTGCCTCTGATGGGTTGAGGCAATGACTCCACATGACATTAGAATGTGACATGTATTATCTGGCACCAAGAATATAGCAGCAGATCTGTTAGGACCTCCAACTTGCGAGGTGGGGCCTGCATGGTTCGGATATGTTGTTCCAGCACATCCCACCTTCCATTCAATCAGTCATGCAGGCAGACATCCCCATGTACGATGATTATTGAAATAAATCAATAATGAATACAGGACTCAGTGGAAATGGAAAAGCAGATTGCAGATAAATAAATATATAAGAATATCCTTGAATAGTCCTTAAATGTGTCAGCTAGTCAGATCTTAACCTCCTATAGAATAAGGTAGGTGGAATCCACTGGCTGTTAAGGAGTTAATCTAGTAGAGATTCTATAATTAATAGAATCAATACATTATACTACAAAGTGATATATAATAAAGAAAAAAATAAATCCCACAAGGGATTAAAAGTAAGTCTAATATATGGTGCAGCAGACAGAGTACTATTTGTGAAAATTTATTGGTACATATCAACTGTCTACAAAACACACAATAATATAAAAGACTAATAATAAAAACAGTCCCAAATGAGAGAGGTGATATACCAGGTAAAGCAGACTGGGGGTCCAAAGATGTAGGTAACACTCTCTTGACGGCCGGACAGAGGTGAATGAGGACCTCCTCGTGCTGGAATAACACTGTGTATTTGCCGCGTGCGTTCCACTGCGGCTGCTGGATGCGTTCCAAACGCTCACTCTCATGAACTGACTGTACCGATGTGGAGATTCCGCCTAACGCGTTTCGTGATCACAGATCACTTCATCAGAGACATCCCCATGTAAATCTTTACTTTCAGCTTACCTATTTCCAGAAAAAAAGATAGCATAAATAGCAAACAGCCTTCTTCCAATAGTGCATCCTACTGCCATCTCTTCCCCAGTAAAACAACACACGTGAACCTGGCCATCCACCTGTTCTAAATGAAAATATGATTCTTCAGACCAAGCAACCTTCTTTCATTGCTTCATGGTCCAGTTCTGATGCTCATATCCCCATTGAAGGTGATTTGAAACGAAGCGCGTGACGTCAGACGCATGGGCAGAGACTGATCGGTGAAACCCTGAACTCATACCGGTTATGCCGATTGGGATGAATTCAACATGGAGGAGTTCCGAGACAATATGGAGGGATCCTGACAATTGAAGCTGCTGGGGCTATTATTTCCTTAGATTTAAATGTTATAGGGATGGCAATAATGTATTTAAATAATGGTATTTGAGAATTAATGAACTTAGGGCCACTTTTAAACATTTGATTCGGAGTTGGATTTCCTCTTAATTTAATACTTTTTAATACTATTTCCAGCGTTTCCTGGTTAAGGACTATATCTGAAGATAAATGCCTGAGTATTATTATAAATTCTAATCTCACCCTGCTTGTTGATTAAAGGGACACCCAACTAACCCAATTTTTTTTTTTTTTTAAAAAGCATGTCACTTGCAAAAGCTGCAGGTTTCTTATCTAAAACCTCTTTCCATGGCTGCCCAAACACAGACTTCCCAATACCGTTCAATGAGTCCACTGAGCTAAGCACCTAGAAAGGAGCAGAACCAGGTGTCTGATTGGCAGCCAGAGGGTTTTAACAAGGTTAATGTATACATGTGTCAATTCCTATTGAAATCTGCACTTTTTGTAAAATGAAAAAAAAAGGACACACTTCACATAAGTGCTCTAGGACTTTGGAGTGTCCCTTTAAAGCAGAGGTAAGCAACCTCTTGCACTCCAGATGTTGTGGACTACATCTCCCCTGATGCTTTGCCAGGGTTATGACTGTATATGCATTATGGAATATGTAGTCCAAAACATCTGGAGTGCCAAAGGTTGCCTAGCGTGCGTTAAAGTCTGGGCCCTGGACCACTATTGCTCTATTCAAGCTTAATTTAAAATTACATTTTCATTTCCTCCATCTGTTTATTCAAACTGAAAATTCTGAACAATGTTTTTTTATCTGTCTAAATTGGCTACAAGGTATATAACAAAGCTAGATGTTTTTAACGAAAACTAGTGGCAGGGGTGAAACTTTTCCTGTCCACTGACTTGCTATACTGTCAATTGTTAGATTCTGAAATATTACAGCTGATGTTATGGGGTTTTTTTATAGCAAAATCGCAATTAATAATGTAGAAAACAAATTTGCAAACTTTTTCATCTACAACTGATTTGTACATCTATTTCCTTGCATTTCAGGTATGTAGTGTTTCTCAAAAATTTCATTGAAACAGCTGAAAAATTCTTCATGGTAGGACATAAAGTCAACTATTACATACTCACCGATCGAGTCGAGGAGGTACACCAGTACAATTTTACTCTTGGTGAAGGGAGACAGTTATTTACCCTACAATCTCCCACGTACAAAAGGTGGCAGGATATTTGCTTCAGACGCATGGAGATGATTCGCAATTATACTCGTGACAGATTCATCAATGAGGTTGACTACCTGGCTGTGGCGGATATTGACATGCAGTTCAGTGACGATGTTGGTGTAGAGAGCTTAAGTGAATTGTTTGGGACCATACATCCTGGATTTTATAACGCACCTCGACAACGTTTTACGTATGAAAGGCGGCCACAGTCTAGGGCCTACATTCCATATGATGAGGGTGACTTTTATTACGCAGCAGGTTACTTTGGGGGCACAACAGAAGAAATATACAAATTGACCAACTACTGCCATAATGGCATAATGGCAGACAGAGAGAAAAATATTGAAGCTCTATGGCATGAAGAGAGTCATTTAAACAAATACTTTATTTATTACAAACCGACAAAGCTCCTTTCACCTGAATATTTATGGGACAACCGTATGGGTATCCCAGGATTCCTTAAAAGACGAAGATTTGTTGCGGTTCCAAAAAACCATAATGAAATCCGGAACAAAAGATCAATCAAAGAAAAACAAGTAGCCAGTCAAAACGCTAAACATTAAAAAAAGTTTCGCAACATTCTGCATATTATCCCTGACACCCTTGTCCCACCTCCCACATTCTAAAAAAACGTATTATTACTACAAAAATTATAGCTCTCTTTCTGTCCTTCTCTCCAAACTTTCAGTATTCAATAACCCTTTGCCAATATCACTGAAAAGTACAGAAAAGTTGTCTGGCAGTTATAGTTCAGCTATTGGCTTTCAGAAATGAAAACCTGGTATCTAAAGTACAAGTCCCAGAAGTCCCTCCACTGAGCAGAACAGTTTGCACAGATAGCTAATCATCCTCCCTACATTGTAACTCTTGCAGCGCTAGGATAAACATGTTCAGAGTATGTAGGCCACACTACTTCCTGTAGTAAGCAAATTCAAGGCCAATTTGTGGAGATTTGCACAAACAGAAACAGTACTGTAAAAGTAAGCATTTTTGTTTTATTTCATTTATTTGGATTGGTGCTTTAGCATATTTTTAATGGATTTAAATGTCCCTTTAACCCCTTAAGGACACATGACATGTGTGACATGTCATGATTCCCTTTAATTCCAGTAGTTTGGTCCTTAAGGGGTTAAAGAACACCAGGCACCATAAGCACTACAGCACAGAGCCAGACTCTCTCTGCCTGAGCTAAACTCAGCAGTGCAGGGTTAACTGGCCCTTTGCAGGGCTTCAGGGGAGCTAACAGAAGCGTTTAACAGGAGTTTTCGGCTCTACTGGAGGCTATAAAGAGATGGAACCAGGTAAGAAGTAAACATTTTCTAAAACGGTTTGAGTCATTTTATTGGGGAGCACCAGAGCACTCCTGGCACCTTAACGCGCTGTAGTGGTTATAGTTTTTTAGCGTTCCTTTAGCATTCCTATCAGACAGCCACCAGACGGACTTCGTGTTCTTAGAACACGAAAAGTGTTTTAAACGACGCTGGACGTACTCATGCTGTGCGTGAGGACCTCCAGCATCGCGGAAATCCATGCGCGGGGGGGAACCTAACCCAGCGCCGAGGGACATTGGTGCTGAATTCAGGTAAGTCACTGAAGGGGTTTTAACCCCTTCAGCAACATGGGATGGGGGGTGGGAGGGAGAGGGGCACTGCAGGGTCCTGCAGTGCCAGGAAAACGGATTTGTTTTTGCCGGCACTGGAGAGTCCCTTTAACACTTCAGTTTGTTTAAATAGAATAGTGATGAGAGATCACTGCTGAATACTTCTGAAATGCCACGTTTGTTAATCCAAATCATTCTTGAAAATAGAAATGCCTCTAAAGTTCATTTGAGGATAGATTGCTTCACTTTTTATTGCCTTTTTTAAGTAGATAGGCACATGTCAAATCTAATAGCTAATTATTGAAAATGTGATGAGTTATTCCTTTCTAGTATAACAAACAGAAACATGCTCAAGATCCATAGTAAGAGCCAAATACAATTTATTAAGAAGTTTAACATCACCAAAATGTTGTTTTTTTTCATTCACAAATCTCAAAGAGTTGATAAAGTCCCTAAAAAGTAGAGTATTATTATGTCTACACTCGTTTAGAAAATGGTTTACTTACAAACTACTCAAACTCCGTAAGTCTTTGAAACCGCAGTTTGTGTGAATACAATGTGTTATCTAGGGCATCTGCAACATATGATTCAATGAAATAATATCACCAGGTATATTTGAAATGATATATACCGCTACCAAGAAAAAGTTAAATAAAATATACTTTGAGTAATATTTTTCTGTGGTTTACATAATTGTTTGTTTTTTTTTTGTTTGTTTTTTTATATCCAAGTTTGTTAAATGATTTCCCTAACCTCGTCTTCATTTCTTTATGTAATTGAAAATGTAGCATTTTTATCCTCATTACATTCAGTTTTTCATTATATGAAAATGCTATTTTTTTATTAAGTATTCTTGCATAGCAAGACCACTTAATGTTATCTCACATATATATTATTATTATTATTATTATTATTATAGCCAAATTTACCAGCTGTTGTGGATCAGAATGTTGATCTTTGTTATATTCAGAGGAAGCCCAAATTGTTGTTACAAGTGCACTTGGAGAAGCGAGAATTAGACACCAGACACCTGTTGGTATTCAAAATAAGGCTCTGACGTTTTATTCATTTGTTGGGTTTTATACATTAAAAAGTACGTGCTTACGTGCAAATACTCTTAGAATAGTAATAGGAAGGGAGTACAGGTAAGACATAGGCATGAACGTCATGTACACATAACAAATAAGTTCCAAGGTAAGAAAGAACAAAAAGATTAGAGAAGAGACATCTTAGGTGGGGGCTCTCTGCTCCCAGAACTAGACACATATGGTCTTAAGTGTTGTTTAAGCATCAAGCATTTCCTGAGTCCTAGTTAGCCAATTTTAATATAGGATATCATTATATGACACCTATAAGCTTGAGCCTTGGAATCAAGATAAATTCTATCACACCACCCTAACTCCTCCCACAGTTTTTACACTACATAGACCGTAATATACCGAAACGTGCGGATTGTTCCCGATTGGATTGCTATTACTTTGTGGAACGTTTCGCCGAATGGTTCACGGAATATCAAAGTTCTTGTGACGAAGTTGGTCCCATAGGAATGAATTGCAAAGCTAGAGTGGGAGCTGGCAAAAGCTGAAAAATCAGGACATGATTTCTAAACTGCCACCACTCCCTCATTTTCAAGCCCACCTACACAAATCTTATATCAAAACGTTCAGCTATCCCTGCTGCCACTAGAAATGTCCACAGCTAAGCAATAGTCCTGATAGTTTTCACGATATGACCATTTGTTTGCAACTCACGCCGTCCATTGACATTCATTGAAACTCCACTCTAGCCAGCTCAAATTTGAAGGGCAATATCTAAACTGCGACTGTGCCTTCAGTTTTATTATTTCAGAGACATACTATGCATCAAAATGTAGGTCTGGGTCTTGTGATTCTCACAATATAAAGCTCTTCGCTGTAGAATTTATAGTTTTTAAAATACGACCGTTTGAAGATGGCAACAGCCAAAATACTCTGACCTGTGCCAGGCTGGAACAGCAAGTGATGTCATAGACATGCACTGAATTCTACCACCAGCCTTTGTCAAATTTTTGGGTAGTAATCTTTTTTTGTTTCTTTGTCACACACATTGTACTTTAGGCATGAATTAACAGATCCCGTTATGTGTCACTGCCAAACACTGCCCAATATGTTCAGCAACATCTCCCGAGTACAGTGATAACCCCTATGTATAGGGTTGCTGGGTTGTTTGGGGGCCAAAAGGCAACAATCAGAACTTAATGAATATACTGGGTAGAATTATCTAACCCTGGAGAGTGGAGACAGTGGAAAGAAACAGGGATAGGAATAAGTTAAGAGTCTCTAATGGTAAAGACAAGCCCCCATAAAAGCTCTTAGAAATAAGTGAATGCAACTTGCTGGCCATGTGCTTAAATTCTATTCCCTCGGACTGTAACAGTGTGTGCGTCTGTTACAGCCCGAGGGAATGCAGGGCAGTCTGGCCAGAGGAGCGCTGGGTGCTGTCTGTGCAGAGATGCTGGGGCCGGAGAGAGCACTGACAGGCTTCCCGGCAAAGCCCTGCCCCCAAACCAAGCCCCGCCTCCCGCACATAAGCCCCGCCCCCACCGTAAAGCAGCAGACCTTGCTGCTGCAGAAGATGGCTGTCTGACCCCCAGCAACAGCCTCCAGTGACAGGTAGGCTTGATGTGTGTGTGTGTGTGTGTATGGACTCAGCAGTCTGTGTGTGTGTGTGTGTGTGTGTATGGACTCAGCAGTCTGTGTGTGTGTGTGTGGGTATGGACTCAGCAGTCTGTGTGTATGTGTGTGTGTGTATGGACTCAGCAGTCTGTGTGTGTGTGTGTGTGTGCATGGACTCAGCAGTGTGTGTGTGTATGTACATAGCAGTCTATTTGTGTGTATGGACTCAGCAGTCTGTGTGTGTATGTACATAGCAGTCTATTTGTGTGTATGGACCAGTGGCGTCTCTATGATTCATTTTAAGGGGGAGCACATGGAGGGCCAGGGACAAAAGTAGAGGGGGCACATTTAACCCCATCCTCACTGAAGTTTGACCCCGCCCCTGCCGCATGTTAAGCCCCGCCCCGACACAATGTGTTTTGTTTTTTTAATAATCCCTGGTGGAGGATTCATTATTTTCCACCAGGGATTATTGAAAAACAAACACATTACCCTTGATACAGTGCCATAGTTGCCAACATTTGAAAAAAATTTCCAAGGACATTTTGCAGCACAGAAAAGCCCAACCAAGGAGAAAGTGACATAGTAGATGACATTGGTGTAGCAGAATGAAATATTTCAGAGACACCTGGTATTGCTACAAAAACTGTGAATGATTGTCTGGGAGCCGTAGAACTGTATCTGCTGGCAAAGACTACATCTACAGTGCCTGGGCACACTGACTACCTGGAACCGCTGCCAGATTCTGGGAAAACGGTAATGGAATTAAAGGCGGGGCTCGGACTGCCTGACCGGCTGTTTGATACCAGGGCTGTCATAACCCAGTGAGAGGCCATGATTGCGTCTCTGGACACCCCCGAGGGAACAGGGAGACTGCCAGACAGCCCAGAGGAAAGCATTGCTGACATTGAGAGGTGGCCACTCAAGGCCGAGCAAGCAGAGGATACCCCTGGGGAGGAAACCAGGCAAAGCAAAGAGTCTAGGAGTCTAGGCCTCCGGCACAAGAACAGTGCTCCATGCCAGGCCAGGCCAGGCCGAGCATGATGGGATGGAACTGGGATCAAAGGCTGCATTCATGCAGGAGGAGGGTGCTCTAGACAGCCTCCCTGGCCAACCCCCTGAGGATATAGAGATGAAACCTGTAGCATTACCCATAGGGAGCAAGGAAGGCTCCCAGGAATTCGAAGAACTGATGGAGGATGTTGTGGAGCCCTTCACAGAGGGACTTGTTCCAGTGGAGGATGAGCTGGTGACAGAACCAGGTCTTGAAGAGGTTGAGCACCTGGAAAATCCAGCTCATGAAGGAATCGGATGTATAAGTGATATAGAAAAGTTAGTTACACGCAAAGCCTTTGTAAAGTTTGCGTTTGAAAGTAACTCGGACATTGAGAGATTATCAAACCAGAAGCTGCTGTGGATGTGGAAGCAGATGATGATTGAGAGGAACTTGGCTACTAAGGAGCCACACAGTACTGATCCTCAGCCTAGATTCTCTAGCAACCAGATAAGCAGGGGAAACTGGAAAGAAAGGACATATTACATATAACTGTCCTGAGAGTGAAGAGCCAATGCAATGTAGTAATAAGGGCTCTGCATAGGATTGTATTGACTTGCTTAAAGATGTGTGTGGTGACTAGTGGTGGTGTTACAGCACAGTTAAAAGTGGTGATGGTGGAAGGGAATTGTGTACAAGCACTAATTGATTCAGGGAGTGAGGCTACTTTGAAAAGTGTTCTGCTCCAGCCAGAGACATGTGATATAAGACAAATGATTAATATTGTGTGTACACATGGTGACACCCGCACATACCCCACGACAGAGGTAGAGTTTGTTACAGAGGTTGTAAATGTTAAATGCCCTATAGTACATGTAGCTCAAACGCAAGAGCGAATAAGTAAGGCCAGGTATCTGAGTACCTTGGACCTGGTCATAGGGTATTGGCAGGTTCCCCTGACAGAGAAGGCAAAGGGAAGAGCAGCGTTTTCTACTCCCGAGGGGTTATGGCAACATAAAGTACTGCCATTCAGGTTGCATGGTGCACCGGCCCCCTTTCTGCATATGATGAATAGAATACTCTGGTCCCACAGAAAGTATGCAGCTGCCTACCTTGGTGATGTGGTGATTTACTGGGTGGACTGGGAAGCACACCTGATGAAGGTCCAGTTAGTTGTGAATAATGTAAGGGCTGCTGGTTTGACCGTTAACACTAAGTGTTATCTAGGATTAGAGGAGGTTAACTATTTGGGTTATCTTATTGGGTGGGGGCTCCTTAAACTACAAGGGATCAAGCTAGCCACCATCTACAATAGGCCACTTCCTGTAACTGAGAAACTAGTCAGGGCTGGTACAGCCCTAGGTGATATGAATGTTCATGGTTTGTGTTTGAAGGCCGCTTGCCCCGATGGGTCTGAGCTGGGGGGGGGATATGTGATAAAGTGAAGGCAGATAGGCCTATAACATTTAACCCCAGGGGGAGTATGTGTAGTATGTGTTATAGGCAACACAAACCACCGTTTAGTTATGGGCCCCTGGGGTGGAGCATTTGGAGAGCAGGGTGGGTTTATACACAACTGGGAGAAATAAGGTACAGGCCAGAGTTTTTTGGAACTGTCTCCAACCCACTGCTCAGCTGCAGATGATCAGCTGTAGCAGTGGGAATAAACCCCTCTCTGTTAGGCAGGTAAAAGGGGGATTGCTGGCTTCCTCCCGGGAAGCAGGTAGGAGATAGGCTGTTCTCTCCAGTGAGAGAGTCAAGGAGACTGTGCACTGGGAGTGCAGAAGGAAAGCAGTTAAGGCTGGCTTGGAGCACTGGGAGTGTAGAAAGGAAAGCAACAGGCTGACTTAGCACTGGAGTGCAGAGAGCTGATAAAGACACTAGGTTGGTGAAACCAATATTGTTTTGTTCTAGTTTAACCCCTGAGAGATAGGGAACCTGAAGTTAGTATGTGCTCAGACGAGCTAGGTTTTTGTTTATAGGGATTTGTGTT